TGTCTTAAACCCAAAATTCGATGTGCAGGGTTGCGTCCCTTAGGTGTGGCAGGAGGTTTGAGTCCCAGATTCATTTGTTGCCAGCAAATTACAAATGCAGTTTCAGATGAAGACCTGCCGAACTGTTCTTTTTCCCGTACATAAATATATCACACTGTCATACAACTGTTCAACCTCAAGGTACGCAGCAATATTGCAGGTACATGACGTCGGTCTGTAGACAACAGATTCTGGACGTGACAATGCGGTGACTGATGTCACGATCACCCAACTACGCAATTTGGATACATAGAGAATCTCACCGAGTGTCTTTTGATATCAAATATATTACCACGAGTTGATAAAGTTACACATATCCAATTCGGGGCTTGGCGAACACTCTCATTAGACTTGCAGTGCAGCGATGTCATAGCGTTGTGACGTCATCAGGTGTTTGACGTCATAGCATTGTGAGTCATGTAAATGATGTTGTAAGGGCATTGTATAAAATCTATTATTATATAGGTAGTATTTTTCCTGTACCACGATTGGTCAAAAGACCGTCAAATGATTGACTACAAAACACGATATTGACTTGAGTTTTCTGATAAATTACGATATTGACTTGGGTTACTAAAAATAGACAAGGAATCCCGTACGAAGGGTCTTCCCCCCGCTTTTCAGCCAATCAGATCACTCGGATAGATGGCACAGTGTGTGCATTAAAAGTTTATGTTAAAACCCGTTTCTCTTTCATTATATAATAAAACAATTATAGACTCTTGTAGAGGTCGATATCGGTTTTTATTGACCTGAGAAAAAGAATATCGACCTCGCAAGCTCGGTCGATATTGTTTTACTCAGGTCAATAAAAACTGATATCGACCTCTACAAGAGTCTATAATTGTATACTGTCTAAACAATATCTCCTAGGATATCGTTTGATCTCACCAAGCAATATCTCCAGTGGAACATAGTTTTGGATGATATAATTCATGAAGTCAGTTAAACCAGGGAGACTATAAAATGTTGTAGATTATCCCTGGTAAAACTGACCATCGAGTGTTGTAGAAGCCTATTCTCCACTTCGGTAAACATATTCCGTTTGAACGTACTCGTGTTTTCACCCTTACCAACTCCTCATCGTTACTTGTGAGTGAGTGAATCGATGCGAATATGCATGTGTAATCTGAGCTTCTGAAAGCAGTGGACGATGGTGTAAGCATCTCTCTATGCCGTCGATGTACGGGGATAATGCATCAGCTAGTCTGGTCTCAGCTTAAACTGACCATTAGCATATCTACATATCAAACACACAAACTTGATACAACAGCAACAACAAGCACAAACAAACAACAAACTTAAAATCCAAACCAAAACAAGCACACCAACAAACTAGATAGAACCTGAACAAACAAAGGTTAACATTTTTAATTAACCAAAAACAACACGTACATCCCTCCATCTTCTGGACTTTGAGCGTGAATGAATAAGGTTTTAGCAATATTCAAGCAATACCACAGTTAAGTACACCAGAAATGGGCTGCACGGAATGTATTCACGTGGGGAATAGAGCAAACGCTTTAAATAACTAGGCTAGCCCCACCTACCTCTATCCCAACCTCACACTAAACTAGATAGGTGGTCAATTTCAAGAGAGCATACCAACCTCATTTTATTTGCATTGGTAAGAATTTCGGCATTTCCCTCTATGAAATGTGTTACCTTATCAGCGAGGTTTATGGGGAAAAGTACCCATTCAGTAGCCAATTAGAAATGAAAGGTAAAATAACCGTGATTGTGTTAAGTACATATTGACAAGCACACATTTGTCTTTCGTTTGGCGAAATAAGTTTGAAAAGTATTCCCTGACGATCTTGGGAAGAGACGGGGATGGTTGCAGAGCGCTAAAATTACATCTGGCCGGGATATCCAACAGCCAGGCCGGATGGTGATTTCCTATTCAGTCAATATTCGAGACGCATTCCGGACCAGAAGTCTACATCTGAGTCTTAAAGGAAGCATTGGGAGTATAAATACCTCATGTTAATCAAACGGGTGACGGACTTATATTTTACACCGTCTTGGGAAACCATTAATTAATATATTTGCACAGTGGTAGATTAATCAAGAGTGCGTGCGTGCGTGCGTGCATGAGTGAGTGAGTGAGTCAATGAGTGAGTGAGTGAGTTGGACTTTTAGCAAATTATAATATTCCAGCATCATCAGGACAGGAGACATCAGAAAAGGGCTTCACGAATTGTACCCATGTGGGGAATCGAACCCGGGCCTTCGGCATGACGAGCCAACGGTTTAACCACTAGGCTACCCCACCACCCCACATCAGGAAGGAAGGTCCTCAGTGACACAGAACTGGACGTGCATCACTTTGTCCTGAGGTATGGATGCTGCAGACAAACCAGGCATTATAGTGAGAACTCGTTTTGTCTTCGAACCCACAAACAGCACATTTTATAATGGCTAATTATATGTGACGCAACTCTGCACTTAGACTAAGAAAGTTAAACACTTGCCTTCTATAACCATTAACAATTTTCTCTGCTGTGTTGGTAGACTAAAGCTTAGTCTCTGAACATATACACTCTCCCCCAAAACGAAACGCATAGGTGTATTTTCATGAATTTAATCTGTTACTTTTAAAGTGAGATAACACATGTAATTGTGGATCAGTTGCTGCCAAATTTCACAGTATAAAAGATCAAATTGATGTTAACATAAATAGCTTATAAAATGTTCAATAAGCGAAAGCGTCCGTTCTCAGTTGGGCGTTATCTTCAATATCTGTTGTGGCCACCATGAGCACTCAGAACTGCTCTGCACCGTCTTGGCATGGACTGGATAAGTCTTTGAATTCGACCTTGTGAAATTCTGGCCCTTTCTCCTTGCAATGCCCGCGACAGTTAATCTAACGTTTGTGGCGCCGATTGACGTTCATGTACGCGTCGGCCGAGACCAACCCGCAACTGCTCGATGGGATTGAAGTCGGGCTATTTGAAAGGTAACAGAAGCACTGTAATGTTCTTGTTATAAAGATACTGAATAGTGGCATGTGCCGTCCCTCTGGCGGTCAATGATCGGAGCTATGTAAATCCTTAGGATTTTGTCTCTGTACAGAATAGCAGTTACATTGCCCTGGAGGCGTAGAAAGTCACTGAACCATACACGTCGCCAGTTTTGTAATTCCAGAATCGAACGTTATTGCACCACTGGATCCGTCGACGTCGATGTAGTCGTCACACCACAGGGCCAAAATAGAGTTTTCTGGCTCGAAGCCCAGCTTCTCGTAAACGATTACGAATGGTTTGCGCGGACGTTCTCCTCAAACCAGGCACTGCACTTGCACTTGCAGTTGCTGTGACAGTTCGATTCCCGAAAATGAAGTACCCGGATGTAACCATCATGTGCTGCAGTGGTAATCCAAAATTTACCAATTTGGGAGAATTGGTTTGTGAATATAGGTCCCATAAACGACTGATGGTACTCTGGTGAACACTGAGACGCCCCAGCCTCCAGACGTCCAATGGCAATGTTTCGATTTACAGCAGTGAGTTGCGGCATATTCTAAGTCAGCTGAAAATGCCAATGATCGTCTAAAAAGAAAAACTGCCTTACATAGTCAATGACCCTGTTCACGATTCTTCAGAGCTGCACGTGCATTTTACGAACCACATTTTCTCCATGACATTGTCGACCTTAAACTGAAATCTAGACTTACCTCATTTAGGGCTTAAACATTGCAGAAAGGGCTGGGCAGAAGTTAACATAATGCCGTAAAGGGACTGTGAAACAGACTACTTGTAGCCTTTACATGCGTACGATCAGTTATCGTGGGAATAGGCTAAAATTTATTTCAATATATAATGTTTAAAGTATATATCATACAAAAAAGTATTTATCTCTATCCATACAGGATAAATCGGACACCGTCGCCTATATTTTATTTGTAACAGGCCAATCATTGAATGGACACTAAATATAGATAGTTGGAGAGTCGGATAAAGACCAATTTAATGGATGAAGAACTTACTTATTGCCCCTTTATAAATACACTATCATTCTGTCTAACTGTCCATCTAAACATTTTTTCGTTTGATTATTATCGTTTGATTGTTATATTGTTTTACTATAAATAAATACATAAATAAATAAATATACAGAGAGAGAGAGAGAGATTAGAGATTATCTCTTTCTCCGTAGAGTTCTCTCAAAGTGAGTTCTTATGTCAGCGTCAACTGTGATATCAGACGTGACACACCAAGAACAGAAATGTCTTATTGCTAATGAAAGTCAATGAGACAGTCCCGGAATATTTTAGAGCATCAAATTCGTCTTTAGGCAACCTGACCTCTGTATCTTTGCAAGCTAATAGGAAAATCAGAGCAACTCTGCTTAGCATTTCCCAACGAGATTCTTAGTTGTCGCATTCAAAACCAGCTCTCGCTAACAACATAAATCAGATTTTCCGTCAAGATGGAGTATGTACCCCTGAACGAGTCCGTAACTCTTATCCTGATGGATATTCCATAGGCGTTTTGCAGACATACGTAATGTTCCTTTGTTCGTGATCCACAAGCCATACACAAGTACCCAAACGCAGCCAAATGTTCGACTGGTAAGATGAATTCAGTTGCATTCTGAGAGAATAGATCGCCGACGCAGATCTAAGTAATCTCTGGAAGCGCGCTCTCTCTGTTTATTAGAAAATAGAATAAATTATCGATCGTACCTTGAAAAAGACGCGTTTTATGGCATGCTGCGATGGGTCGGGTAATCGCACGTAAAAGACCCGGGCAAAACACTGCGCAACTCGAAATCGTGGCGTTCAGGTCGATATATACCATGGAAGGACAAAATAATGGAACTATTCACAAGCACCAAACTCTCAACAGACTGTTACGTATGCAAGGTATGTTTGTCGCGATTTATTTAAAACAGTCGCAGGCAAGTAACAAACTAACCCTTGATGTCTTAACTTATGATTTTCAGAACTACTTCAGGGTCTCGATCTACAAAGCGTTTGTAGCGCAACGACATTCGTAAGCCTATGATAAACTATAGAGTTACGACAAGTCGTAACGTTACGAATGCTTTGTAGATTGGGGCAGAGTATCTTAAAATATTCTCTCAAAATGACCTATTGTTTTCCTTAGCAATCAATCAGCAGTTTCCTTCAACCATTTTCTCCCCTGTATGTAAGAAACGGTTGATTTTTTTCAACCACCACAGTGTTTCACTCAAACCATGAATAATATCAAGTTGCCAACATGAACCTCTTTGTCTTCAGGACACTCCTTCGTTCACACATTCATTTGGGAGCCATTAGCAGTGTTCCCACTCAGTTTCTGCTTTAACCGCTCCTTCATTCCGAATACACTTTAAACCATTTTCGCTTTCACTGTGCTCATGGGACGTATTCAGTTGACGTCCATCTATTCTATTTGTGTGTCCTTTTTTAATTCATGTACACATTCGTTCGGGACCCTCAACCATCTTCTAACACTGTGTCAAACATGTGTATTTAGTTTGTAACTTACCCCAACTTCTTTTTCCTTGCTCTTTTTTCACTTGGTACTTATTCAATTTAAATTTGCAACGTCTTCACTTTCGGTCTTCTCTTTCAACCACGAATTTATACAGTTTGAATTTTACATTGAAGTTTACACCATCTTCTCTTTCGGTTTTCTCTTTCAACCACGACTTTATTCAGTTTGAAGTTTACATTGAATTTTACGCAATCTTCTAATTCCTTTTCTTCTTTCAAACACATATTTATTCAGACTGCACGTTTTACCTTCTCATTCGGCATTGTTTTAATCATTCTGTATTCACTTTCAACCATGTAACCCACTGAGTTTGTGCTTCACACCCTCTTCCTATGTCTCGTTGTTTTGACCCATTCAACAAAGAACTCATTCAGACGGCAACCAAGGCAGTCCAATTTAGTTCACACTTCAGCTCTGTACTCTAAGATGATACATTAAGCCATATGTTCAATGCATTCTCTAGGCACACACTCATTCAGCTGACATCTTTAACCATATACACACAGGATATATTCTCCTTAGGTCTGCCACCCCTGTGTGTTCTTCCGTTCTGCTCATGCCTTCCAATAAATGTCAGACATACTGTAATTGCGTTTTCCAAGCATCAATAATACGTCGATAATAGTATTATTTTCTTCTCTTTAAACACTTAATAATTTTCTTGTCATCATTGTCTCGGTTTGCCCATACCCTGTCCTCAATAACTAAAAGTGCTGACGAAGTATATTTCCGAATCAACTTTACCACACAGCCCATATACCAATCTAACGTTGAATCAGTCCGTGGCTTTCCTACTTCAAGCCCTTCAAGCTTATATTTGATGTTTCTTTGGTTGAATAACGAATACTCCACTGTATAAACAACTGCGTGGTTGGTAGGAATAGATTTATCATCCCGATTGGTAGATATTGTTCAAAGCAATAAAACTGACGTCTTTGAAGAAATGTATTGATTTTTCCAATGAAATCCTGAAAATACTTCTTTGGATGGATGATGGATTGATTGAACAGTGCCGTTAACGCCATTTAAGGAATGTCTTGCTTATTAACGTGTTAGCTTTTAGACGGTATTAACTTCTGTAAATAACATTGGCTTTTTGAGAAATTCAAGTTTATCTGTAAAAAAAAGTATTGAGCTGAAAGAAGTATGAAGTGTAAAAGTTTCAGGTACTTTATCAGAGACGAGTCTCAGGAAGACTGAAATTTTATTGATAATCGTTTCGTTCCCAGAACATTATTCAGAGGATGTCAATGCAGTAACGGATCTCGGTATCGTTCTGGGGAATTCGTACCGGGACATGCGTGGTCGTAACGCGTCGAACAGAATGGGTTCTGTGTGTAGATGCCAGTATGTGTTGTGATTACATTCTCAACAGGTGTCAGGATTAAAAAATCTGAATGATAATGAGTCACGTGAAGGATCCCACCAGTTCCCCATGCTTGTCTAACTGAAGTTGTTCTGTTTAGAACGGGTCACCCAGTACCCCACGCTTGTCTCCCTAAAGTTGTTCCGGTCAGAACAGGTCTCCGGTACCCCGTGCTTGTCTCCCTGTAGGAGTCCGGGTCAGAACAGGCCCCTCATTACCCCACGCTTTTCTCCCTAAAGTTGTTCCGGTTAGGACAGGTCTCCGGTACCCCAGTCTTGTCTCCCTGTAGGAGTCCGAGTCAGAACAGGTCCCCCATTACCCCACGCTTGTCTCCCTGTTGGGATTTGTGTCAGAAGAGGTCTGCATGTATCCCCTGCTTGTGTCCTGTGAGGAGTACGGCCAGGACAGACCCTCAAGTTGTTTTCCTGTCGGTGCTTCAGTAAGAACCGGCCCCAAAAGTAACCCATGATTGTGTCCTGTCTGAATGTCAGTCAGAACTGGTCCCCAAATACCCAAAAATTGTCCCCTATGGTATTCCGGTAAGAACCCCAAAACCTTTTTCGTGGCCGCAAGTCCACACTGTTCGCCAAGACCAATGCTAATGTACGCGTTATCCGTGAGATGCACTATAATCATATTGATGGTCAGTAATCGCCTCTGGATTCATCACTCTTGTTCCTCTCGCACACACTGACATATTCCTGACAACATACCATCTCAATCTCACCCTCTGTATGATAAACACCATTTTGTACAACGCACGTTACATACACATACACCTTAATGAATAATTTCACTGTTACCAGTAACAAAATTATTTACAAAAAGGGAATAAGTCAAAACTGTCCAAGTCGCTTTGGGCTAAAACTCTATGAGCGACAGGCTGGTCGTATTGTCTGTGTTTCTTTATTGATTCAACCAACCGAGCCATTCTGAGTGTGGAATGACATGCCTTTTTACCTGAAACTATGCTTGAGTGTATTTGTACAGAAGATAATAATAGCTAAGTCCGGGACAGATCAAACACAGACACAGATTGTTCGGGCATTCCGAGTAATGAGTGAAAGATTTACTGCCTTTCTGCAGAGAACGGAATCTATTTGAGGGATTACTGCAGAGTATTTGTCTGTCTTGCTCGACTTTCCGTGGAGAGCCAAGTGTGGCCGTTCACTACGTCAGCTGTAATTATGTAAAGGGTGCTTAAGACTTATTACTCTATCTTGCAGGTAGTTATTTTTCTGCCGTCATCAAATTTGTACTTTGACAACAAATATATTTTGAGAGTTCAGAACTCCATTAAACGATATTTCGTTTTCACGCTTAGATAGCTGACACACTATATGTAGGCCATGAGCCAGACAATTTTTCGGTACCACTCCGAGGGACCAAACACTTTTATGGTGTCTACATATAGAAAATGTATGATGGCCATGTCAGTTTGGTAGCTCAAACTCAGAACGAGGCTAAATCCAAGATGGCCGCCAAAAACTCCAAAACGTTCAAAAAATGTCAATTCCAAGCTCTAATCGTGAGTACCTATAAATAAAATTCTTGTCTGTCTGTCTGACTAGCAGCTTTCTCATTCCAGGACCAAACTTGAAGACAGAATACCGTATGTGACATGTGGAAGCAAGTGAATCCATGTCAACTACACAAGAAGAAGCAGACACACTGATGCTGTTGCATGCTAAACATGCATCTTCGGAATCCTCATCAGTTGTCATTTCCTCAGATGACTCAGATGTCTTTGTCTTGTCCTTAGCAAAGAGCAGTGACATTGCAACCAATATTTACATCAAAACTGATGCAAAACAGTGCAAGGATTCATTGATATCAAGAAAGTTGCTGCTGTTCAAAGCATTTGCATGGCCCTTCTTGGACTACACACATACACTGTACGTGATACTGTTGGTACTTTTGGAGGCAGAGGGAAGGTCAATGCATTCAAACTTCTTGTCCACAGCAAAGAATATCAAGAGGCTTTCCAACAACTTGTGAATGAGTGGACTGTGCCATCAGGTTTGATTGACTCACTTCAAGCATTCACATGTATTCGCCTGTCTGCTTCAGGTTGTCAAATAAGGGATGTCCATCAATTGCGCTGGTACCACGTATTTGAAGTGAGAAAATGGGCGATTGAATCATGACAATTGCCACCCTCCTTTGATTGTCTATCCATGCACATCCTGAGAGCAAACTATTAAGCTCCAATATCCCAGATAGCATTCAGTTTTATTATTGCCAACATTGCCAACGTTGGGCCAACGTCCGAATGCTATTTGGGATGGTACAGCTGTCTGGAAGCAGAATATCCAACTCCACGGGCAACAGATGGTCATGGATGGGTGGAAGAAAATGGTCACATAGAGATTTGCTGGATGACGGGACTTCTTGTTCCAGATGCTGTTCTTGAGTTCATTTCTTGCAAGTGCACAACAGTTTGCAAGCTGCCAAGTTGTCAGTGCCTTACCAATGGACTGCAATGCACTGTGACATGTCGGAACCAGACTTGTGACAACATGGTATGCGAGGACCATGACATGCCGAAGAGTGACACTGATGATGCAGCTGATGTTTATGATGCAGAACAGTGACTATCACTAACCACTTTAAGGAACTTGAAGGTGCTCTCACTCTTTGAAATTAAAGAGCTGTCTACAGAATAAATAAAATGATGAGTTTTCGAAAAAGGTCTGTGAATTTACAATTTTGACTCTTACAAAATCCGGAAACGGTATGATTTAAAGATATCAAATAACACAACTTGATATTAATTAAACCATTTTTAATCATGTTAGCACTGTTTTACCTCCTTTTTTTCATTTCAAGCCTAATTGTTGAACATTACTCACGATTAGAGCTTGGAATTGACACTTCTTGAAATTATTTTTTTTGGCGGCCATCTTGGATTTAGCCTCGTTCTGAGTTTGAGCTACCATAACTGGCATGACCATTAGATATATATTTTTGATATGTAGAGACATAAAGGAATAGAAAAAACACTAAAGCTTTTGGTCCTTCTGAGTGGTACCTATATGTCAATTTTCAGCTCCTGGCTCATGGCTTAATGTCTCAGTACATGTCGTGATGTTGCTGGAATATTGCTAAAAGCGGAGTAAAACCAAACTCACTCACGTCGTGTAGTTTTAGGCTATATTGGCAGTCGAAAATCCATTCGTCAT